GAAACTTGTGCTCTGTGCCTGAGCTGAATTGCTGCTTTGCCATCATTTCTTAAACTGGAGACGACATTGTGTGCCAACCAAATTTTAGTGTCAGTCTTTTCATCACTCCCAGGTCATGTGGGATCTCCACAAACACAACTGGGCTGTGTGGGATATTCAGTTCAGGTCTGAGTCTTTCCCTGAAACTGTGCCCCTTGCAATTGTCACTCAGTCTTCACTGCATGGCACCCATGCTGATCAGAAGGCAGATTAGCTACACTGTTCCCCAATGCACCCCTGGTGGATCAGCTCCCCAGACACTCCAAATGGTTCCTGTAGGGCAGACCCCATATGAGTCCCCACAAAGACTCACTGACCTCTGGGTAATTCATTTTTCTCATTGGCTACATCTCCTCCCTCCTTGTGGATCCAGGAGAAACTTGAGGGTATCTTTGCTGGCCTGGGACATGGGATAGTTATCCCATCAGGATATTTTTTTTGGTTTTTTTATTTTTATGCCTGGCAGTGACAAAGTCATCAAAAATAATAGTGTATTGAACAAATTCTACTAATTTACAACAAACAATTCATAAAACTATTTTATGGCAAAAGTTAAATATAAAATATCACATCTGCCAAAAGAACAATCACAGAATCACACTCCAAAATGGTTTATTTTTTTTCTTTTTGCCAGCAGTCATGGCAACTTTGTGCCCTGCAGACTGCAAGTAGCTTCACGCAAAGGGCCCTGCTGCAGCTTTGCCTTCTTCAGGTAGCTGCTCCATGAGCCAGTAGCTATTTTGTATGCTGTGCCATGCCAGCCTGAGGAGCAGCGGGGGCTTTGACTGATTGGAGTGATCTCTCCTACCACCTCAATATGGTATTTCATGACTTTGCTGAATCCACGGGTCTCTCTGCCTCTTCTCCCGAGTTTCAGTGATTTCAGGATGGCAGATTTTGTGTTTTAATAGTTGTTAGTTGATCCGTTATAGGGGCAATGATGCAGAAGATCATCTATTCAGCCATCTTGGCAACATCACTACTCTGTTAGAGATTTTAGCATGAAATTAAAATAGGAATGATTTCATGATCATTATTCTTTTGGCAAAAAGATGTGGTATTTTGTAATATTTAGCTTTTGCCATAAAGTAATTTTATGATTCATATGTTGTAATTTGTTAGGATTCGTTCAATGTACTATATTATTTTCTATGACTTTCTCACAGCCAGGCATTAAAAACAAACAACCAAAAAACAAAACAAAACAAAAAACTTGATGGGATAACTATAATGCTTCTTAAGGAAAAGAAAGAAAAGAATCTATATTTTTGAAAAAATACATGGTTGTGTGTGTTCTTGTTTTTGCACTCATAAAAATCTTTTAACTTGTGCTTTCAACATTTAACAGTGTTTTAAAAATATTGGTTTCTTTCTTTTTCATCCTTTGTTTCCACAAGGACCTTGACCATGGTAGGGTTATGTTCCCTTGAATGTGGTTATAACTTAAGAGAAGAGATAAATTACATTCCTCTATTTAATGTTAAGACCCTAAATTATAAGCAGCCCTCTTTCAACACTCATACATCCATGCACGCGCGTGCACGTACACACACACACACACACACACACACACACACACACACACACAAGCACACTCAATGTGATTTTGAACCCGTTTCCTTAATGTCTGCTTCTTTAACCAGCTGATTTTCTCTGCATGACATAGATGCTTGGAGTGAGAGAAATAAGGTTTCTGAACACGATGCTTTGACTACTACTTATTTTATCTCATACCTAAGCAAAAGCTTTAGTTTTCTTGTCTCTGCAATGGGAATAAAAATAGTAACATTATATGATTCTATTTGATGTTTAAATGAGAAAAAAGATATTTAAAATGCCTCACATAATATTTCCTTAATAAGTATTAGTCTCCCTCCTTTCTTACATTTTTCAGAGGATGTAAGCATCTGATGAACTAATAATGTGCTGTACACTGAGAGGCAAGAGCATAGAATTTGAGCCGGATCAAGGTTCAAATCTTGGCTCTCCACTTAGCTGTGTAACCCTGGGTGATTATTTAATCT